ACAGGCTCTCTCCCCTAACACCCCTGAGGCCGAGACGATTCTAAAGGGCAAGTTTGTCACTCAGTCAGCTCCAGGTAGTCAGAGGACGGCACAAAACTGGCCGCTGGCCTGGAAGGGACCCCGGATTATGAGCTGCCAGTCGGGTATGTTACAACCACGATCAAGAGGAGAATAAGGAACAGGAAAGGAGGCTTGAGAAGAAAAGATCGGAGGAGGGGGACTTGGTTCTCACACCCTTTCTGACCCTGCCGGAGAGCAGAGCCCCACTGCCCGGCTGAGGGGACCTCAGGGCTGAACCGGGGACGAAGTGCTACGAGCTGCAGGACAGATAAACAGTTGTCCGGATTTACAGTGATCTGGACGCTGAAGGTCACTCTCTCCTTGAGGCAACATTATGCCTCCGGGAGTTGTTCCCATGGAAACCGGGCGGCCAGGGGACGAACTGAGGGCGGGGGGCCGCGCGCAGGCTCAGGCGCTTCAGCGTTCTAATCAGCAGCGTCACGAGGCCCAAACAAATATGGAGGGAGAAAGAAACTAGAGTTAAGTTGGTTTTAAAAAAATAGGACCAGACACGTCAGGACTCTCTGGGCGGCTACGACGGGTCTTCCCAGGGTGGGGCCTCCTCCCGAGGAGGATTCGCATTTGGAATCTTAATGGTGGCTGGTCTGATACTCTGTAGGTCATTTGTAGAAGCCGTCGCACATGCCAGAGAATTCCGCTGCCCCGACGTTCCAAACACCCTCCCATTACACCCACCTCTGGAGCGACCTCTGGGCCCGCCCTGCCTGCCGTCCCCCCCCTCCCCCCCCCCCGGCCTGCTCCCCTTCAGGAAGCCGCGTGGGCCGGCCGTCACCCGTGTTGCTAACGGTGGTCAGGAGTCACGTGTTGGGGGGAGCAGCGGCCAGCATGGGGAAAGCTAGGAGAAAGCAGGCGGAGAGGAAAGGTCAGGGCCTGAGGTCCCTGGGCGGGGAAGACTCGCATTTGTTTTTAAAAAAAAAATTTTTTTTTAAATGTTTTATTTATTTCTAGGAGAGAGAGAGAGAGAGAGACAGCGTTAGCAGGGGAGGGTCGGAGAGACAGGGAGTCACAGACTGAAACAGGCTCCAGGCTCTGAGCTGTCAGCACAGAGCCCGACGCAGGGCTCGAACCCACGAACCGCGAGGTCATGACCTAAGCGAGTCAGACGCTTAACCGACCAAGCCACCCAGGCGCCCTGGAAGACTCGCATTTGGAACAACGCTGCGAGTGTCTGACCACAGCAAACCCCTGGGGGGAAGGTTCCTCCTAAAATGTGACAGACCCCACCTACACCCCCCCTCTGGTTTCCCTCAGGAGTTTGAGGAAAGACCTAAGTTCGGCCACAGACCCCCTCACACGATGCCCTGGCGCCCTCAAGCCAAGAAGGCTGGGACCTGAGAGGGAGCCAGGGGGAGGCGGGGGAGGGCTGGCCAGGACCTTACAAAACAAGGCCCCTGGGCCGCAGTCCCCGGGGACTGTTTGGAAGGTCCCCTCTCTGTAAAGAGCTTTCCTTCCATTCTCCCCTTCTGATCCGACACTCTGATCGGCGCCTGCCTGCTGCTCATTTTATTCCGCCCCCTCTTCACCCTTTAAAGCGGTGAGACCGTGACCCCGGGTATCGAGGTAAAAACTCCTGCAACATGAAGCTGAAAAAGTCTCAGAGAAACTGTTAAAGTTGTTTCCCCAGATCTGTTGGTAACCTGGGACCTTAAAGCTTTGCTCAGTTAAGTGAGAAGTTCGATCCTGTGGCCATCGGGGTCATTTCCAAATAAGATAAAATACTGAGCCAGTACCTGCTGAGCTCAGCTTTATCTCCTTTCACTCCTCCCTAAAAGGAAGCCGAAAGATACCTGGGTCTATCGGCAAACCTGTTTTTGTGACACATTAAAGTAACTTGTACTACAAGGAAGCCCATGTCTCCAGAAATTGGCAAATCTGAGCATGCTGCTTAACGTAAAGAATGCTGCTGGGGAAAATTAGGGTTTCTAAGGCTTAAAAATTCTACTGTGATCGAAGCCACTGGAAATAATAAGGAAACATCTTCGTATGCAAGGAAAATGTGGTTTTTACAAGGTGGTCTGAGGAATGGAGATGCACTTGTGTTGAGGACCAAGTTGTAGGTTTGTGGAAAAGGAATCTTTGGAGTGAAATTTTAATGTGTGATCAGGCTGGCTAGGCTTACAATTTTAGTATCGAAAGTAAGTGGTACAAGATCGGTTTTTGCTCTAAAAGGAAGTTTTCTTGAACTTAAGGTCTGCTGTTGACAGCGGTTTATAGATGTTTCTTTACTTTTCGAGTAACCCACCAGAGCCACGATTGGTGCCTCAGCAGAGCTTTCTTTTCGGCACTTTGACCGAATCAACCATTCAGTACTGTTTTCACAGCGGTCTGCGACGCTCTGGAGTCAGGTGTCCGAATGTGTTGATATTTTCGACAAACTTCTCCAGGTCTAAATAAGGCCTTTCCTAACCTCAAACTAAGTGTTGAGAATTTCCAGAGGGTCCCTGAACATCTCAAAAGATTTGTTCTCACTTGTATAAAGAATGATGTTCTGCTCATTAGGCTTATCTGATTGTGTTAAATTCTATGGAAAGCGTGTCAAATACGTGGTGATAAAGCCTAGGGTAAATACTGACGTTCTACAAGTTCTCTAAAATCCCCACAAACCCAGTATATCCTGGATGACGTGACTGGTCATAACAGTTCTCTCCGAGTGGTACGTTCAGAAACCAGCAGCTCGCTCCGTCGGTTTGGCTGTAATGGACTCTTCGCATCTCTCACAACGGACACTGGAGTCTGGTCGCTTGACTCTGGTGTCCTGCACGTGTTCCTGCGAAGGCACCTCCCCTCAAGGAGTCGAGGAGAGGACTGGGTTTCTGGTAACCCTGACATCGTGAAAGTGAGCAGGATGAGAATTTCTAGAAGTAAGGAGCAAAGGACTCAAGAACAAGTATTACATGGAACCAAACGAACTCAGGAGGAGAGCTATAATTTTACGACTTCTGCTTTGAGATACTACCTGTTCTTTACCTTTTCCCAGACTTAAGGACACCTCTTTTCTCAAGGTATCAACAGTTTTGAGATTTTCCTTTGTGAACAAAGATGAAGATGTTTTTCCCTCCTTGACCCTCCAGAATTTGCAAACTTAGTATTATCTTAGTGGCAATGCATTTGCATGAGTGCATTAAGGATCCGTCCTTGTAACAGGAAGCGACCGGGGACGCTGGTTACATTACCAGGCTCTGGCCTGAACGTCTTGTTTGAGAGAGGTGCACAGACTCCGAGACGGCCAGCTTTCAGGAACTAACGGTGACCTGACCTTCCTGCAGCCGGTGAAGACCCTCACTTACAGGGCTCCTGGCGGCCTGACCTGGTGAGGAAGGAAGGTCACTTGCTGGCAGGCCCAAGAATCTCAGGAACATTTCGGGATTTGAGAAGAGAAGAGTTCACCCACATCTGCAGGTACCGCAGGCACAGTCTGACGGTGGGTCCTAGGCCTGGTTTCTGAGCCTGGACGTCTTCTGAGTTCACGGGAGATTCCTTATGGGAAGTCTCAGCAAAGCAGACGTAAACGAGTCGGTATGGAGAGCACTGTTCTGCACGCACGCAAATAACAAGGCCAAGTTCACAAAACTGTGAAAAGTCTTGCTATGAATGCGGGGGTGACGGCAGAGAGGGATTACGTGGGTGACAGGCCTTCATGGACAGTGAACTCCAGTGCCGTTAACGGTCTGTGAGGTTTTCTACCTGGAAACTGGACTAGATCCCAAATTCTTCTCTTCTCTTCCTATATTTGGCTGCAATTCTCCCAACTGGTGTTTCCAGGTCACCCCCCCCCACCCACCCCCCGTCCTCTGACTTGGAACCGTTGAGAACGACAACGGCCCGTTTTCCAAAGCTGCGCAGGGTGCAGCTGGGTGCCCGCTGTGGTGCGGGCCTCTCCGCTCTCCAGGGACGCCCCCCTGCAGGCCAGGCCCGTCTGTCTCCTGCCCCCTGTGTGGCGTCGCTCCGTCTGGAGAGGCTCCAAGCCGGACATCTGGACATCTGTGCGCCTGGATGCCTCCGGAACTCAGGCCGAGAGCGCATCTGCTCCCAAAGCTAACCTTCGTTTTTCTTATGTCTCCCCAGAAATGCCTCTTATTAAATACCTGAGACTTGCACCCAGACCTCACTCGGGAGCCCCCTGTAAGGAGAGCCGGCTGCTTAACTGAACGACCTAATCGTCTGTACAGAGGGGCTGGCTCAGCGAGTCGGAGAAACCCACCAGTTCAGTTTCTGGGCGGCACAACTTCTCAGAGCTTTCAGAGGTGGACTGAGGCCGGGAGAGGAGGGGTGACCCCCCCCGCCCCCCGCATACGCTGCTCTGGCCTCTGGCTTAAGTCGAGCTGCAGGCCAACAAGATGCCGCAGAATTAAGAACAACTTTTACCTCTCACCTCAGAAGGGTTTGGACACGGGCTATGACTGGCCTTGAACTTTTATCTGAATGACCCATCTGCACAGCACGGCAAATATCTCCTTCCTGCAGATCTGTCGTTAAGGTCCTGTGAAGGCCCAGCCCCCTCCCCTTCCTCAGCTCAGGACCAAACGGAAGCCTCTGCTGCCTGGCTGATCCTGGGTCTCCTGTTCTTCCGCATCCCCGTGTGTACGTGAGCAGACTTTCCTCACGTTAACCTCTCTCATGTCAGTTTGCTTATTAGAGCGACCGAGGAACCTGGAAGGGTAGAGGAGAAAACGCCCCTCCCTGCTACTGGGTAAGTACTGCGCACGCGTCCCCACTCGGGATGGAAGACTGCACACGCCCCAGCCTGCCCCACCTCCCTGTGATCACAGAACACCAAGGAAATACGGTGGCTTGTCTCCCCCCTCGTCAGGCCTGTCCAAGGTGTGTGGCATCAGCTGAAAAAGAATCAGATGAGGACAGGGGACGTGTTCAGTTCTGGGATGAGAGGGCGGAACGGGAGGAGGCGAACGGCCATCTGGTTGGTGTTTCTCTGCCTTTATGCTCAAAGGTACTCGAGGATTTACAGGGTGAGGATGGGTGGCTGGCGGGCCTTCCTCTGCGCACAGAATTAAGAGGTGAAGCAGATCAGCTTCCAGGAACAAACAAAAGGGACGTGGTGCATGGCATGGACCCCTGCTGCCCGTGCCCGCTGCCCAGACCCCACGCTCGAGAACCGTGGCAGGGCTGTGGGCACCGGGCTGGCTGGAGCCTAACCAGCCGCCCAAGGTTAGGCCGTGCTCTGGGGGAGACGACCCGCTCCCGGGCACCGGGGAGAGGGGTGTCCCCGGACGCAGCGGTCAGGTCCGTGCGCCCGCTCTGGCGTCCGCCCCGCACAGAAGCCCCGCGGCCCCCGAAGGAGGCCGTCCTAGGCCAGCTTGAGGCACTGGGTGTTGAAGCTGTCCCCTTCTCTGCTGGCCACGGCCTCGAGCAGAGCCTGCTTCTTCTGCGCGCTGCGGGACGACTCCAGCTCGTACATGGTGGTCAGGTTGAAGAGCACGCTCTCGTGCAGGTAGTGCGCCGGGTCCTGCTGGACCATGGCCTCCAGCTGCCGCAGGGAGTCCTTGAGTCGGCCCAGGTAGAGCAGGCACACGGCCGCGTTGTTGTTGGCCTGGGCAGGAGGGGCACATGCACGGGTCGGACGCGGCCACCGCCGGAAACCCTCCCCCGAGCACCGTGACCCCCGCGACGGCCCGGGACGGCCCCCAGCCGCGCGCTCACGTCGGATCTTACCACTGCGTTTGTCGGCTCGAGCCTGAGGATTTCTGTGAAGAACCTGTGGGCTTCTTCAAAGTTATTCTGACCGAGGTGGAGGAAGGCTCTGGAACAGGAACCACAGGTAAAGCCGGTAAGGGGGGCGGGGGAGCCACAGCCCCTCGCCGTCAGGCCGGCAGCCCGCTGCTGGGAGCGGCCCCCACACGGCCCGGTGACGCTTCGGCGGAGCGAACCGCAGCGTGTCTGGCCTCTTACTAACACGGGTCATGACTTCCTGCAGAAGGGGATGCCTGCCCGCTCGTTATCCCTGTTGCTGTGCGACCCTCACCCTGGGCACAGGCTTCATCTGGGTCAGCAGAGCCCCAGCCGCAGCCCCACTGTGTGCCCCAGTAGTGGGGACACCCCGAAACGCGGGCTGGGAGAGGCAGGGACAATGAACGGTTGTGCAAATTCATGCTGAAAACGGGCGACATAAGCTGGAAAAGCCTTGAGAAACAAGGGGGGGAATGTCTGGAAGCCTGTCCGGTGGCTGGTGACCGCTGTGTCAGGGCTGGGAACGGGCGGGGCGGGGACGTTCTCCAGGGACCCTGGAGAAGCGTGGACGTGACAGGGTTACCTGTTCATTAAAACCATTATTTTGCCTTGTAGTCCATCCAATCTCTGCGTCACTTTCTCCACGTCTTGAAAATACTTCTCAGCTGTTTTTATGTCCCCAATCTGTTTTGACAGAGTTAGTGAGTCAGGTCAGGTGACAATCCGGTTAACATACATCCGCACAGACAGCCGCCTGATGGGTTAGCAGGAAGCTCTGGTCACCATCACTAACCGTCACTTTGTAAAAGCGAGTGCCATTTAGGACACAAAGGAACGTCAACACGTTTATGTGAGAAATGAAGTTAACATACGTGTCTTATTAAAAAGTCTTAAATGTGGGGCGCCTGGGTGGCTTAGTCGGTTAAGCGTCCGACTCTCGCTTAGGTCATGATCTCGCGGTTTGTGGGTTCGAGCCCCGCGTCGGGCTCTGTGCTGACTGCCAGCTCAGAGCCTGGAGCCTGTTTCAGTCTGTGACTCCCTCTCTCTCTGACCCTCCCCTGCTCACGCTGTCTCTCTCTCTCCTAGAAATAAATAAAACATTAAAAAAAAAAAATTAAAAAAAAAAAGTTTCAATGTGTACCCTTTGAAAGGACTCCTAGCATAGCATTAAGTAAAATAAAAACAAATGAGTGTTCAGGGAGGTGGCAGAGAGGAGGACCCTAGAAAACACGCACATTAATGCAAACCACCAGGGAGCGAGCGATCCGAAGCCTGCAGAACAAACATGGGGGCGGGGGTGGGGGGGCAGAGGGGAGGCCGCAGAGGTGAGTCAGGAGCCCAGCCCCAGCGGGCGCAGATGGGTGAGAAGCAGGTGATCACACCAGGGAGCCCACCCGGGAAGTCAGCTCCCCAGAGCATCTGGCTCTGAAAATCAGAGGGGTGGGAATCTGTGAGTTCTTACAAGCAGGACCTAAAGCCTGAGCTCTGAAAACCAGGGGGCTGGCTTGGGCTCGGCTCAGGCAGAGCGGGATCCTTGCCCTTAAAGGGCCAGCACAGCAAACAGCCCACACAGATCCAGACTGGAAGCAACATTCAGAGAGATGCTGAGGCGTACCAGAGGGAGAGTTAATGACAAACCAAAACAAACTAATCAGTAATAATCAGGGACTTTATCACCTCACATCAATGGACAAATTATCCAAACAGAGAATCAATATGGAAACAGTGGCTTTGAATGACACACTGGACCAGATGAGTCTAACAGATCTATCCAGAACATTCCATCCTAAAACGATAGAAGACACATTCTTTTCAAATGCCCACAGAACATTCTCCTGAACAGATCACACATTAGGCGACAAAACAAATCTCAATGAAGTCAAGTAGCTCAAAGTCACACCACACACCCTTTCTGACCACAACGCTGTGAAACTAGAGATCAACCACAAGGAAACATCCGGAAGTCTCCACAAATACACAGAGGTTAAATACCATGCTACTGAACAATAAATGGGTCAACCAAGAAGTCAAAGAAATAAAAAATTACATAGAAACAAATGAAAATGAAATCACAAAACCTCTGGGATACAGCAAATGCCGTTCTAGGAAGGAAGTGAAACAGAGGACTATCTGAAAAAACCAAAACATCTCACGTAAACCACCTGGCCTTACAACTACAAGAGGTATAAAAAGAACAACAAAACCCCAAACCAGAAGGAATAATAAAGATTAGAGCAAAAATAAATGATACAGAAACTTAAAAACACCAACAGGACAGATCAATGAAACCAGGAGCTGGTTCTTTGAAGAAATCAACAAAATTGATAAACCTCCAGCCAGACGCATTCAAAAAGAAAAAAAATTCAAAATCACAATATAAGAGAGGAAATAACCACCAACAGCACAGAAACACAAACAACTGTAAGACATATTATGAAAAACTATCTGGACAACCGAGAAGAAATGGATAAACTCCTAGAAACATGTCAGCTACTAAAACTAAAGCAGGTAGAAAATTTGAACAGACCCATTTCCAGCGAAGAAACAATTGGTAATCAAAACACAACAAATAAAAGTCCAGGACTAGATGGCTTCACAGGTGTATTCTAGCAAACATTTAAAGAGTTAATACCTATTCTCAAACGATTCCAAAAAACAAAAACCAAACAAACAAAAAAACCCCACACAACACACACACACACACACACACAAAGGGAAGGAAAACTTCCAAATTCGTTCTATGAGGCCAGCTTGACCCTGATACCAGAACTAGATGAAGACACCACCAAAAAAAGAGAACCACAGGCCAATATTTCTGATGAACACAGATTTAAAAATCCTCAATAAAATACTAGGAAACCGAATCCAACAATACATTAAAAAAACTTCACTGCAATCCCTGGGATTTATCCCTGGGATAAGAGGCTGGTTCAGTGTTTGCACATCAATCAACATGACCCATCACATCAGCACAAAAAGGATAAAAGCCATGTGACCATTTCAGCAGACACATAAACAGCATCTGACAAAGAACAATGTCCATTCGTGATAAAATCCCTTCAAACGGGTTCAGAGGGGACATTCCTTGACATAACAAGACCATATATGAAAACCCCACAGCTAACCTCATACTCAGTGAGGGGAGTGGGAGCCTTTCCCCTCAGGTCAGGAGTAAGACAGGGGTGTCCACTCCCACCACTGGTACTCGACATGGTGGTGGAAGCTGTAGCCTCAGCAAACCCACAGCAGTAAGAGACATGCAAATTGGTAAGGAGGGAGTAAACCCCCCACTACCTGCAGATGACAGGATATTATATACAGAAAACCCTAAAGACTCCACCAAAAAAAAGTCCTAGAACTGATAGCTGGATTCAGTAAAGCTGAAGGACGCAAAATCAATATAAAGAAATCTATTGCATTCCTGTGTGCTAATAATAATGAAGCAGCAGAAAGAGAAATTAAGACAATAATCCCAGGGTGCCTGGCTGGCTCTGTTGGTAGAACATGAGACTCTTGACCTCAGCGTCATGAGTTCAATTTATGGAGCCTACTTAAAAAAAAAAAAATCCCATTTATAACTGCACCAAAACTAATAAAATATCTAGGAATAAACTTAACCAAAGGGGAGAAAGGCCTGTAACCCTGAAAACTAGAAAACACTGATGCAATAAAGATAACTAACACAAGGCAATGAAGACATTCCTCACTCATGGATTAGAATAAACATTGTTAAGATGTCTATACTTCCCTGAGCAATCTATGCATTTAATGCAATCTCTATCAAAACCCAACAGCATTTTTCACAGAGCTGGAACAAAGAATCCTAATGTGTATGGAACCACAAAGGCCCGAATAGCCAAAGTGATCTTGAAAAAGCAAAGCAAAGCTGGAGGCATCACAATTCCAGACTTCAAGTTCCACCACAAAGCAGCAGTCATCCTGACAGTATGGGACTTGTACCAGAACCACACAGACCATGGAACAGAACAGAAAACCCAGAAATAAACCCATAATTATATGGTCAATTACTCTTCGACAGAGGAGGCAAGACTGTCCAATGGGAAAAAGTCTCTTCAACAAGTGGTGCTGGGAAAATTGGACAGCAACATGCAAAGGAATGAAACAGACCACTTTCTTATACCATATACAAAACCACACTCAAAATGGGTTAAACACCTAAATGTGAGACCTGAAACCATAAAAGAGCACAGGTAGTAATCTGTCCGACACTGGCCACAGCAACTTTTTTCTAGATACGTGTCCTGAGGCAATGAAAACAAAAGCAAAAATAAACTCCTGGGACTACATCAAAATAAAAATCTTTTGCAAAGTGAAGGAAATAATCAACAAAACTAAAAGACAACCTAAGAATGGGAAAAGATATTTGTAAAAAACATCTCAGCTAAAGGGTTAATATCCAAAATATACAAACAACTTACATAATTCAACAATCAAAAAAATGAATAATGCAATTACAAAATGGGCAGAAAACTGCTTCGATTCTGTCTCTCTCTCTGCCCCTCCCTTGCTCACACACACTCTCTCTCTCCCTCTCAAAAATAAACATAAAAATTTTTTTGGAAAGGGGGGGCACCTGGGTGTCAGTTGGTTAAATGTCCGACTTCGGCTCAGGTCATGATCTCATGGCTTGAGAGTTCGAGCCCTGCGTCAGGCTCTGTGCTGACAGCTTGGAGCTGGAGCTGCTTCACGTTTTGTTTCCCTGTCTGTCTGTCCCTCTCCTGCTTATACTCTCTCTCCCTCTCAAAAATAAACAAACATTAAAAAATTTTTAAAGAAACGGAAAGAAGATATGAATGGACAGATATTCCTCCAGAGGAAACCTACAGATGGGCTTGGTGTCTGGTGACAAAAACGACACTGTGACTGTCACAGCCTTTGCTGTGATAGGCATCTGTTGTCTCTTTTCCGGGAGCCTCCTGCCTTCCCCCAGCATCTGTGAAGCCCACAGTCCAGTGCATAGTTTGCAATGGGACCGACCCTTCCCAGTTGACACCAATCCACAGCAACCCAGAAAGTCACATGAGGAGGAAGAAAAATAAGACACAACAAAGAATGGCATTTACGTGTCGCTTCCCTATGGGCTCCACATGGGCTGACACTCTCGCTGCACACTTCTCCCTCGCTGACTTCCAAGGAGCTCAAGTCCACGCAGGCTCAATGCCGTCTGTGCCCTCGGCTGGCAAGTCTGATCCCCTACAATGTGGTCATTTTATCTGAGGTCCCAGTGAAGAGAACCAAGTCGCCTATGTCCACATTGCTGGCCACGCTGAAGTTACTGTAGCTAATAGTGTTTATCAAGCTTTCAAGATGTGGTGGGAATGCCAAGTGCTTCAAGCACAGCTCATCTCTCCCTGCAATCTGTGGTGTCGATGCTACTGATTATCTTCATTTTTAATTGAAATATGTTTGACACGTTGTATAAATCTAAGGTGTATAACATGTTCATTTGGTACATTTATGTTATAATGATTTAAAAATTAAGAAAAAAAAAAGGCAACTGAAATTTTTGCAGGATATCCAGCAAGCAAATAAACAGACTTAATAACTCAAACCCCGCTTATTTGGAGAAAACAACAGATAGTAAGTGGATGAACTAGTCAAGACAAAGTGCAAACAGAATTATAAATGTCAAAGGACAAGTCTCTATGGATAGAAAGGAAATT